TATTTAATCAAAATATATTAACTTTTCCGCGTGGGCGGGGGGGGGGGGGTAATAAACTTACTATTTACAGTCAACTAATTTACTTCTCCCGATGGGCTCGAGCTGCCTAAGAACAAAATAATACTATTACCTTAATACAGTTAAGATTTTAGTATAAACGCGGTAAAGGCAACAAAATAACATAAGTATAAATAAACACATAAGCACGAAAAACGCACTTTCAATAATCACACAAAGTTGTTATCTGCCTTCCAGTAAAAACTAGAATATTACCACGCAAATTTACAAATGTCGACGCAATAGCAAACGGATAACGACGAAGAACAAAATTCCATCCTATCACGAGATTTTAAAAAAATCGACTGCAACACTTTACTTGCGTTTTACATGACCAAGAAAGCCCGTAAATAAGTTGTTTCTCACCTGTCGATCGTATCCATGCGTCCCATACGATCCATCACAAAAACATTTCAACACGAATTTCTAGAAGTCTCTCTCTGTCGAGAGAGAGGTCATCGGCCACTATCATGGTTGACTAGTTGCCATACACGTCACTCAAACTGTAGCAGGACTTGTTTCGCGAATACACGTAAATGCCGTAGTATCAAGCAAACAAAACAAAACAACAAAAAAAAAAAATACCCGAGGCTGCGGTGACGACAAAAAAACGACGGGTAGGAGAATCAAAAGGACCTCCCCAACCCCCCCCCCCCCCCCCCCCACACACACACACACACAAACAGACAGAGAGCACGAGCAGTGTAGGACGGGAGGCTTATCATTGTCGACTCATCTCTTGCTCGTGTGCGCTGGATTTAGCGATGACTGGATTTTTTTTCTCGATTCCTTTGCCTTCTGAAATATCTCGGCGCTCCTTTGCAGACAGTCAGCAGCTCACACACAACGTAAATTTGCCAGAATCGGAGCCCGTTCGGAAAAAGAAGATGTCGCATCGGAAATTCGGAGCCGGTTCATTCTAAAAGTACACTAAACGTGTGGGAGCTGAGGGACTGCGCGTAGTCCTGCGGTTACGGGGATAATCATAAATATAAATTTGGTACTTTCAACCTTGGTAGCGCGTTGTATATTACGTTTATATTATATATATATAATAATTTATACAAGACTGTGCTTTTAAAACGTGTAATAATGTCGGCTAAACGCGCAGGGACATTACCGTCCGACAGGAGAAATTTTCTCACGTAGTTGCGCCACGGCCTTCCTTCCTCCGACATTGTGACGTACCCACTCGGAGCGCTACGGCCTTATTTCTAGGAGGTGTTGGTAGCTCCCGAGAGCCTAGCGAGGAGGGAGGCGAGGAGAGTAGCTCCCGAGAGCCTAGCGAGGAGGGAGACGAGGAGGAAAGAGAGGGGGAAAAAAGAAGAAGGGTACCGCTGCACCGGAGCAGAAGCGCCCAAACCGAAACCGAAACTAGCTTGACCGGAATGGAGCGCTAGCCGTTACTGGTCTATCTGGGCCTCTGGGGCCTATGGCAGTGCCCGCTCTTTACCCTTTGTATATTACTCTATGCTAAAACTCCCTAGTATCACCCGACAGCGCTCTTTATGCTTTATAGTTTAAAGGAGCTATGCAACAATTTTTGTACTTTGCGCAAATACCGCTTAAAACGGATCCCTAACGTTAATGACCTATGAAACACGCGTTCGTTTTTCACCCCACGCAATAGAAGTCCCAGAAAAAAAATTAAAGAAAAACGAGCAGCGTTCACCCCCTCAACTCGAAGCCAGAACAAGCGGCCACGTGATCTGGAGCCGATTATATGCCGCCAGTGTTGATCACAGCCACGCGCTGGGGTTGGCAAAGCGCAGGACACGCGCTGAGTTCCAGACATTGTTATGGCTCGGCTGTTGTCGTCGTTGCAGCGATTGGACACGGGTCACAACCCGAATACTTCTCGAGCTAGCAATTGTCACGAGCCTAAGTCGAGTGCCCACGCAATGCTCGGGTCCAATCTATGAACCGCATTGAAATATCGTCACTTGGGTGTACTGCGATCCCCGAGTTACGTCATCAAATTTTGCAAAGGAGAGACTGAATGAAAATGATCGCTTTTGTCCTTGAAATTACACCGCGACAAAGGAGTTTCTTGGCCCATGGCGTTGCGTGTGAGTATCCTTGAGTCCCAGGTGTGCCAGTAAGCTCGTGTAGAGAGAAAAACATTCCAATTGAATATCGTTGCACAGCTCCTTTAAAGGCTGGAGTAGTGCGGTACGCCGAACACGCAACACGGTAACGGTTTGCTAAAAGTCGCTATCGACTGGAAAGGTTGGCAGCAACACATAATGTCTATGCTAGTCTGTCCGTGGTCCACACTCTTAGCAAAAGGTATAGTCTTACAACCCCCGTCCCTATAAGGCACCCCAAGACTTCAGTTCCAAGTATAGCACACTGACGTCAAATCGACGGTACCAACTTTCGTGAGCGGCTGGATAGCCGCGAGTTGTACAACTTGTTAAAATAGCTAATGTACGTGTTACTGACTAAAAGAAAAAATTTTTTTTAAAGCAAAACTTTGCTTTTTTTTTTTTTTTTGCAGCCCTTGATTTTTGTTATAGCAGTACAATAAGTTATATCGCACTGTTATCAAGCCGCTCGTGCAAGTTGGGTCCTTAATTCGACGCCAGTGCGCTGTACGTCGAAAGAGTGTAAGGCTACAGCAAGTCTACAGCCTTGGTTCTGAGAGTGTATGCGAAATGCTTCTGCTGGAGCTGCACCAAAGGCGCCAATGTTTTGTCGCACGTTTCCGATAATTTACGCCATAAAATTGAATGTAACAAAAGTTATCACCGTTTAAACCTCACAAATGATCGTCAGAGGGGTCAAGTTTTGGAATATTTTTACACCATTAAACATAAACAAAACAACATTTGGTGCTTGTACTGAAGTTTAAAGGGACACTGACACCCCCAAAAAAAAAATTTATTTTTTGCCAGGCGCTTCATTATGGTGTCGGAGGACTACCCAATTAATATTTTGCAACAGAGTAGCGTATTTTTTTAATAAAGCCAAAAGACGCAACTCCTCGAAACCGAAACCGAAACCCGACGGAGGTCGGAGAAGTGGAGAGAAGAGAGTGAGTGGCGGAAGTCACGTGGCTACACCCTACCGTGCGTTTTTTTTTTTTTTTTTCTCCTCTCCGGTAGCAGACGACAGGACATGCGGCGTGCGATGGGGCGTGCGGGAACTGCTCGCCGTGCGATATTTTGGCAGTTATGTTTGTTCCGCTCGTTGTTCTGTACTCCAAGATGAGTTGTTTTGTACATTGAGGAGTTGGACATGAGTTGTGAGTGCCCGTGGTGAATTTCCATGATCGGCTCCGAAAAGAATACACCCAAGATGTTGCGTGAAGAGCTGGCTCACATTTCCTGAATCCGAAAAAAAGTGGCATTGTGCGACAGAGTTTCCGAAAGATCAACGGGATCGGGACCAACGGCTGGCTGCAATTCCTGTAGAACATATACGGGCACCTCGGAAAGCGGACGTTACCTGATTTATATGCTCCTTGCATTTTGTGGAAAGTGATTACATTGAGCTCGCAGGTGTCGAAACGGAAATCCCATACGATTTAAATCAGCGAAGTATCGTCCACAACATTAGTTTGTTATTTTTTTGTTTGTTTCTTCAGTGATGATGGTAAAAAAATATATACATATGTAAACATCGAAAAATGTTTGAAGAAAAAAAATTAAGTTCCACGGGAGATCGAACCCGGTCCCACAGCGTGTAAACCGGACGTCTTTCCCACTGAGCTACTGGCGCATCGTTTTTTTGTAGGATTTCCTTCCTTAGTAACAATTCAGCCGGTAAACTGTAAGTTGGAAAGTTTGCTGTCGATTTTTCTCTAGCAAAAGCACTCCTGGGTCGAAGTCGGGAAGCACCACGCTTTGGGGACATTCGCACCTAGGAAAGAACTCGTACGCGTGCATATTCAACTCGAAGTAGACACGTCGTGCTTGACGTTTGCGCGAGCGTTGTCTTCAGCCACGAGAAGGGAGCGACGGCTCGGCGACGTCTTCGTGCAAATCGGCTTGGTGGCCGGGCGTGTCGTACGGGATGAATACCAATTCTTTTGATCAGTCCCAAATTTCTCTTTTAACGGTAGACAGAATTCGCCGGTACCGCGAACGACAGTTCTGAAATAGAGGTCCCACGCCCGTCGTCCGCTGCCATCGCCGTCCCCGCGAGTCCCACGATACGCGAAACGACGAACGCACAGAATGCTTCCGGTTGTCTGTGGAACTTTTTTTTTTCAATCAACGTATTTACAGCTTTTTAGAAGCCACAAAAAATGGGTTTCATATTTTTTTCTATTTTTAATACTGACTGTGTACCTTCAGTGACCCACGACTTTGATTAAATTTGGTGGTCGCATCGATACCTTAGAAAACGGCCCGTGACCGCGAAAAAGAGAGTGAGCGAGACTCGAACCGGCCAGTTCTTGATCGGCGGTTTTCGGGCGGAAAGAAACCGAATTTCGAGCCGCAAATTCTGTTCTGGGTAGTTGAGCTCTCATATGTCACGTACAACTAAAAACCTCAGCGAGCATAAATACCCTGTCAGTGTCCCTTTAAGAAACAACGTTTTTTTTTTCTTTTGTATTTTAGTTTTGGTGAATTTATTGAACCTGACGAAGCTCTCAAATGCGCGAACTGTGGCGATCGCACAAACCCCCAAAACCGCATTTGGTCCTTTAGAAGTAAAAAAAAAAAAAAATTCGAGAACCAAAAATATGATGCAAAAATGGTTTTGAGTTTCGTCTTGGTGAAGAATTTTCCCAGCATATGTATTTTTGTCAAAAGCTTTTTATACGTGACCCATTTTTCCTGTATGATTTGAAAAGAAATCGCCCAGCAGGTTGCTGAGCACGTTTGGAATTAAACACTAGACAGGTGGCGCGCAATACCGCCTAATGCAAAGCGTCCACCCTAGCTACTTATCTAACCATTCGCCTTTCTTTTTTGTTTGTTTATTATTGCCGTAGTGTTTCGGTTTGCGCCGTTCGCACGCCACAGGGGGGCAATCGGTGGCGGTTGGTGGGCGTTACTTGCTTCTGCGAGCGAACGGTGCAGCAGTGTCCAGCGCCCTGCCCGCTCCCCGCAGGGTTCTGCACACGGACTCGCCCGCCTTCGAGTCGTCCACGCTTCCCAGCGCTGCCCAAGAGCGTCATGACCGGTGAGCGCTTCCCGCATTCCTCCGATCGTAGGCCTAGGGGGGCCAGCTTAGGGCTACAGGCTGCCGCCGATCAGCTGTTTCGCGTTGCCGAAGGGGCGAAGGCTGTCCGCTCTCGAGGTCAGGAATGCGGACCGGGCAATGCCCTCGTTACCTGCTCGAGTTCGAGTAACGACTGATAGGCGCCGCAAGCCCCGCTTGGTCGCTGTTTCGCGCGCAGAAACGAAAATCAAATAAGCTGTGGACAGTTCTTCCAAGGACGCGCGTGAACAGCTATGCCGTGATCGCGGTCGAAAGTAATCAGATTCCTACGTTGTTTTATCACGCTCGTTTACTTCCTTCCTCTGTACTCGCTAAAGTCCGATTCACATGGTGCTATCCTACTTGCGATTTTCTGTCTCGTGCGTCCAAAAGCTCGTGGATCCATAGCACGCACTTCACCTGCCGTTCACGGGGTTTATTTATTTATTTTTTCCCCCTACCACCGACGTTGCAACCGAAAATTGCAAGCAGAATCGCAGAAAAGTATTGGGATTTTTATGTTTGTGTCACATTCATTGACTTCGTTCTTTGGCGGCTTCATTGCTTAGCGTTTTCCAGAACCGCAGTGTTGCCCCTGCCCTAGTTTTTCGGCCCTATGTCGAGATATCTCTGTGATCGTATTTATTTGGGCACGCTGCGGCCAATTCCGCTTTGCCCCGCGTTCCCGCGAAAGTGCATCGCGTCCGTTTCCAGGTGTATTGACGGCCTACCGCCGAGTTCTGTGCCGATTACAGCTCTATGACAATTGTATCTTGAACCCATGAAGGCTGGTTTTTATCTCCAACTGGAGACAATGGTCTCGGATAACAACCGCCCCATCTGCGCTTCGAAATGCTGTGTTGACACACAAGCTTCCAACCGATTTCACCATTTGTTGTTTGTAGTGCTCGTGTAAATTTCGGCGCGGGTGGCTGCGGCCCGATGTACACCGAAGAGATCGCGACGTATGGACGCGATAAACGAATCGGGAGGGGGAGGTATATGGAATCTGGAATGGATGACGATGTTTTCCCCGGAAAGAAAAACTTGTCTTGCGCAAGCCGATGCGCTCACGTTCGCGCCCGTGCATGGCACAACGCGCGCGGAAACCATTTCGTGCAGGAATGATTTCCCCACAGCTCTGGACAAACGCCAGCGCGCGTACGCGATGGCCGTACATGCCTGACGCCTGGGAGATCCCCTTTCATAAGCTGCCAAGACCTACTAAGCAAACAGGGAAGTGGAGTCAGCTGTGCCTCGGCTTGACAGCAGTCTACCTGCTGTGGCAATCGTTTTGTCGATGAACGCCTATCAACGTTTTTAATTTTGTCAGCATTGCAACATATTGGTCTTCGCATTAGACAAGTTGTCTCGTAGAGGAAACCTTGGCGAGTGAGACGTCAGACGCTGCCCTTGAGCAAGCTGTAGATGCTGATGATGTTCCGATTTCTCGACGGATATGATGTGTCTATAACGGCGTGCTCCCGGCATTAAGTTATAGAAATTTGCTCGGTCGCCACTATTGTCTGTGCATCATGTGCCACACATGTTAGTTGTAAACTCTGGACCCATAGAGAATGTACAGGATGTTTTGTTGCATTGTGTTAATTTAATGGGTTTTGTTAACTTAAAGGGACACTGGCAGGGTATATACGCTCGCCGAGGTTGTCATTTGAACATATCTTTAAGAGTGCAACTACCCAGAACACAATTTGCGGCTCAAAATTTGTTTTTTTTCCAACCGAAAACAGACAACAGAGAATTGGCCAGTTTCATTTTTTTTATTTTATTTCTTTCTGTACCCTCGGGGCCACTAGGGCATTACAGAGGCAAGGGGCGAGATACGGTACAAAATTCTGTAAAAACGAAATCAAATGCAGACAATGTAAAACGTGAGCAGGCAAGGTTACTATGAACAAAGATGACTGGTTATCGCCGTTTTGGACAAATCAGTTGATGATACGGACACTAAAGATGCAGTAAGGTGGTTCCACTCAAAAGACGTTCCAGGTATGAAGCGGTCAATGTAGGCGTTAGTACGACAGTGATGAAATCCTACTTTGCATTCATGGTCAAGGCGAGCAGAGATATTTGGGGGAGGAAGAAGAAACCTTTCTTTTAGAGTAGGGTTAGAGTAATACATTTTGTGAAAAAGACACAGACGAGAAACTTTGCGATGCAAAGACAGAAAAGGCTGACACAAGTTAGTTTTCATAGACGAGACACTTGCGGTACGGTGATAATCACAAAAGGTTTATCTTGCACCGCAATTTTGGATGGCCTCAATGTTAGATATGAGTGTTGAGTGACCGGGATCACAGATTGCTGCAGCGTATTCTAATTCTGAACGTACCAGTGTTTTAAATAAAAGTAACTTTAATGACACGGGGTCTCATGTAAAATTTTATTTTAAGTAACCAAGCATAGAATTGGCATTAGCAGAGATGTGATTAATGTGAACGTTCCATGACTTGTTATGGGTAATATGAACAGCAAAATATGAACACCACTGACATACTGCTGAGGTAGTATGTCAGTGGTGAGGAGTTACATTGAGTTCCATGCATAGGTTTACAGTTGTGGTTGTTAAGAGTCATCAACCATGCGTTACACCTCTCCAAAACTGCATCTAAACCTGTTTAAAGTAGTGGAGCATCAGATTCGTTAGTAATTTCCTGATAGATTACGCAGTCGTTTGCAAACAAGCTAGTAGGAGATGAAAGATTCTGAGGCAAGTTGTTTATACAAATTAGAAACAAACGAGGGCCTAAAATGGACCCTTGTGGAACACCGGATGTTGCTGCACTGAGGTGGGAATTAGCTTGATTAGTAGAGACATGCTGGGTCCGATTTGTAAGAAAACTTTCAATCCAGGAAAACACATTGAGGCCGAGGTTAAGTTTATTAAGTTTGAGAAGTAAAACCTTGTGAGAATGATCGAATGCTTTGCAGAAATCAAGAAACACCATCAACCTGGGATCCTTGATGGAGAATAGAAAGGAGATCATTAGTGAAAGAAAGGCGTTGGGTCTCACAGGAAAGAAATTTACAAAAACCATGCTGAGGGGGTGTAGAAAAGGAGTTAGGATCTAGGAAATTAACAAGGTGCGAACAAACAATATGCTTCATGATTTCACAGGCACCCTGTTGCGCTCACTCGTTTCCATGGTCACGTGGCCTTCAAACTAGGAGTAACAAATATATTCAGAATCATAATTCATGTAGAGCACACATTCAATATTAAAATTAATCACCTTTATTTCTATTTAAAGAAGGTAATGGTGGAGCAAAAGGGAAAAAGCTTCAAGAAGTTTGCAGTGATGTGATTGCTGCGCCATTTGTGCCGAACTGTGCCAAAGTGCTTACCCTGCTACATCCTGCTACATTTTACCAGAATGTGAGAAATTTGTGCCAACGTTGCGCCAAATTTAGTTTTGGCGCAACGTTGCACTTTAATGGCACTGAAAATATTGTAGCTCAGGCCTCGCTGCTCGGCCAGGCCGTTACGATATGCTTATGCGAATTCTCAGAACTTTTGGCTATTGTCTGAAATGAAGTACCATTCGATCGCATTTCGTGTGAAAGGCTGACAGTACACTCGGAAGTTTCGCAATAATTCTCGTGTTCGTCGTCTGTTCTGCTGGAGGATTAGTTAGTCTGGTCGAGTGCGCTTCTCCTCGCGCTCTGGTGTACTGCAGAGAAGCGAAAACCGCAATGTAAGCATTGCGATTTTGCGTGTCTTGCTTCGCCGCAGCGCATCACCGTGCTAAGGGGAAAGCATTCCTCCAGAGCGAGACGTGACAATTCCTGAATACAACTTTGGCTCGTATGTATGATAGACTACGATATCCTGGCGGTAGCTTTTTTCATATTGAGATTAAGCGAGAATACTTCGGTAGTGCAAGAACATTTATATGCGCTCTTTCGTATGTTTATTTATTCATTTATGCCAACTGATTTGTTTAGCTATCCCTTTTATATAAATGTGATTAAGTTAGAACTAAGTTGGCAGGAACAGTGGATGGAAGCTCGGGAACAACCTTAAGGATGATGAAAATAATCCCTCTTGTTCCCCTTCTCCAGGGATTATTTTCATCATTCTTGTCCAGCTCGCTTGCACCTTTGCATTTAATTGCACTATATTTATAACCTTAAATCGCAAGCTTCACCCTTGTTGGTGTTAGACTGGTGGCAGCTGATAAAACCCGTTTGCTCTACTGACGTCTAACCCCTGGTAAGCTCAGTTGGTAGAGCGCTCCACTTGTAATGGAGAGGTCCCGGGTTCAATACCCGGACCAGGCAGATTTTTTCGGTCGCTCACCAGTCACCTAGCTGTGTTTGGAGATTTATGTTTGTCCTTTGTCCCTCTTGTTCCCCTTCTCCAGGGATTACTTTCGTCATTCTTGTTTAGCTCGCTTGCACCTTTGCATTTAATTGAACTATATTTATAACCTTAAATCGCAAGCTTCACCCTTGTTGGTGTTAGACTGGTGGCAGCTGATAAAACCCGTTTGCTCTACTGACGTCTAACCCCTGGTTAGCTCAGTTGGTAGAGCGCTCCACTTGTAATGGAGAGGTCCCGGGTTCAATACCCGGACCAGGCAGATTTTTTCGGTCGCTCACCAGTCACCTAGCTGTGTTTGGAGATTTATGTTTGTCCTTTGTCCCTCTTGTTCCCCTTCTCCAGGGATTACTTTCGTCATTCTTGTCCAGCTCGCTTGCACCTTTGCATTTAATTGCACTATATTTATAACCTTAAATCGCAAGCTTCACCCTTGTTGGTGTTAGACTGGTGGCAGCTGATAAAACCCGTTTGCTCTACTGACGTCTAACCCCTGGTTAGCTCAGTTGGTAGAGCGCTCCACTTGTAATGGAGAGGTCCCGGCTTCAATACCCGGACCAGGCAGATTTTTTCGGTCGCTCACCAGTCACCTAGCTGTGTTTGGAGATTTATGTTTGTCCTTTGTCCCTCTTGTTCCCCT